TCGATGAATCATATCAGAAAGTTATCAGCTTCGAAATAAATTAATAACTAATTACCTTGCAGTCATATCAAATAGTGGTATTGAGCAAAGTAGTGGCTGATAAAATTTCACACATAAGCAGATAGCAAGCTTTTCCGTAAATTATTATGACGAAGCTCTAGGACGTTGAGAAAATATAGTTCACTTTTCCCATAGAACCAGTGCAGCATGAGTTCACAGCCAGAAAAGCTCAAATTTTGGAAGAATGATCAAGATCTGATTTAGAATCAATTGAGCCTGGTGAAGCAAAATCGATGTTTTGCTTACTTTATCCCGCAATCACCTATGCTGAGTTCATCGGTGTGGTGAGCTTTCGACGTTCATTTGCGAGGGGAAAATCAGGTGAGAGCACGTGAAATCACTGAGAGCGTAGGAGAAATTGCGAAACACATGGCCGCGTCGTTGGTTGGAGCATAGCTTCGATGGGTTGGCTGGATGGTAAAAGCTTCGAATGAGTGGTAGGCTCTCACTGGGACCTCGTTCCGGAGAGTGCAAGTGCGTAATATGGCACATTGTGATGGTTCGTTTGCTTTGTGGATTATTACGTTCCTACTGGAACGTATATCTTCTCTGAACGGTATTCTTTGAGCACAGTGTTGCACAGTTGTACCACAGTTGTTGACAGAGAACTATCATTGATGACTTTGGGTAGCGTTCCAACGACTGGTTAGTAAATACATGGTCGTTTCGCGCTCACCACTATCAAGGGGCTCCATGGGGTTTGTGCTGGTATCGGTGCTATAAATATGGTAAAGTGTTGTGGTACTTGAATTGCTTTATCAGCGGCGGGTTTGAGTCTCGGATGGCATCAATTACTTTATATCACCCTATGCACTCTATTTCATTTCTATTCAGTGACTGAGTAGAATTTTATTTTCCTCTCACGGAAATTTTACTCAGAATTTTTCTGGATGTTTAGTAATAATTCTGAAAATTTCTTATTAGCATTAGCATTAGCATCGAACAAGTTGCACAATATCGTAGGTGGTACGAATTCAAAACTATTAAGAGCAAGACGGATATCTGTAACTGGACAGATAGTAAGTAGGAAATAATTACTATCTCCCTGATAAAGACATATCCCGCTCCAACAGTTAAGGATTGTCCTGGCCACGTCCACGACCTGGTAGGGATAGGAAAAGTATGTTAGTCCAACATTTACTTAAGAGAGATGCAGAGAACTCTACGACCCCTCATAAATGTCTCGGGAATTCAGGAATTATGTTAGTAGGGAAGGTAAGCCATAGGATACACCCAGTCAGTGTTGCTGGCATATGTAGATTTTTTTTATAAATGTTGAAATTGCTGTCTGCTGGAATAAAATGAAAATATAACATGGTGAACTCACCATCGTTGTCACATCCGTAGCTGAATAATAGGAAGGAATTATGATGTGTTGTATATATATTTTTTATTGATAGAGGGGAAAACCCGCGGGAGTGAAAATAATTTAACTACCTCTTCTCCTCTATGTCTTTTCAACTTAAATCATAATCAATTACAAATTCAACTCCCGCTGAGATGTCTTCAAGGTTCCATCGCGATCGGCAGTAATCTGAAAGATACAAATTATACTGCAGCAAATTTGCTAATATTGGCATACTTCTACAATTGTGTAATTTTCAAACCAACAAAACCAAGTAGATCAATAGACCCTTCAATTGAGACGTCGATCGCTGTCCTTAAATAAGGGTGTTAATTAAACTGTAATGTTCTGTAAAAATAAAATAAAATGGTCAACCGATTTCAAATTCAATTTGGTCGATGTAGTGTTGAACGGTAGATGATATTGAGGAGAAATTATTTAGTTATACTGCATAAAAAATAATAAAAATAATTCCGAGAGATAACATTAGTATTAGCATTAATCAATATCATAATAAACATAATTAAAAAGTATGCAAAAACTAAAATACAGTGTAACCATGATTGATGTTTTGTTTATGTGGAGTCAATGTGAGAGTGAATGATGGTGATGATTTCAAAATGCTATTTATCAACTTATTCTAACGATGCCGTTGGAATAAATAAGGTTTTATGTGATGTGGGGTGGATTGTAATCATGTGCAGAGAAAAAAATCACCTAGAAAAGAAGAAATTTTGCTTATATTAATATGTAAGTTCCTATAGAAAATGATCTAATACGAGATGTAACTTTGGTGCATAAAATTTGAGGTTTGTTATTGAAAAAAAAAAAATTGAAAATCCAACATATAAACATATGATTAAAGGCCGTCCTATCAAAAGTCTATCGAAACTAATTTTTATCATTTTTAATTTCTGATAATTATTTTTAACTATTCTTATTCATGCTTATGATACCTACTTAAAACACATTACAAACTAACTAGTATAGTATTTTAAAGATGAGTTTTGGGTAATGTTAGATAAAGTTTAGAATCGATTTACACTCATTTCTATTAATAAGCTTATTCTATAACTAATTGACATTGACATTGACAGGGTCGTTGTTTGGCAGACGAGCATTACTATTGACATTGACATGAATAGAAGTAAATTCGGTAATCTTCCCAGCAGCCCTACCCAACTAACATTTTCAGCTTTGTAAGCCAACTTTTCCAGCGTTGTACTGTAAAGTAGCTGAAAAGAAGCTGCAGATACAGCTGCAAGAAAAAGCTAGCAAAATAGTTTTGGAGAGCGTTTACTCAACTTTCTCACAACCATTATTCAATGTGTCAGTCGCACTGAATAACATCAGCCAATAAACGCTAATCTCACTTCTATACACACACTAATCAACTTTCAACTTGTAGCGGCAAAACAAAGCTAACAAAGTGAATATGTTACCCATGTGATGGCTTCTACACAACTAACCACTCTTGTTGAATAACATAAACATCAAAAGTGCTTTTTCAACAACTACACAACCTGTACTCAGCTTATAAACTGTGTTAGAGCAACTTCGGAAGCATTATCACAGTCAACTAGGTTTATTTTTAGACGTGTGCAGTTTTACAACTTTTACTCTGCTCTTTTATAACTAGTCGAGAAAAGTGATTCATGTGCACTATTATAAAGCCTCTACTCAGTGATTTTGTTGTAGAAGGGAATGTTGATTTGTTTACATAAGTTCAAAGTGTTGGCGTAGCACAGTTGGTAGTGTCAAGGTTTGCCAATGAGGTCGTCTCGAGTTCAATTCCAGGTTCCGGTGCAGGGTAAATAATTTGGTGATGATTTGTAACTAATTTCGATTAATTTGATTCACAGCTAAATAAACTCAATAAATTCCTTCATATAAAGAAGCGTAAACAGTATTTCACCCGGCTTCAACAGAAAGCTGTGTAGTGATTATTGGATAACCGGGAAAAGGTTGAATAAGCGCCTTTCAAGTTCACACACAACTAAACAGCAGGATAACAGCTGTATAGAAGCGTTAAGGGATATGAAATAAGAGCTTCTCCCGACTGTTCCAACAGCCATAAGTAGCTGAGTAAGTTCGCCAGATTTGCTTGTATAAATTGAGTAAAGGTTTCTTCATATCGTATAACGTTTGAATACAGCTTGAGGCTGTATAAATGAAATGAGTAAAGCGTTTACGTTGTGAAAATTGTTAGTTGGGTAACGACTGGAACCAAAATCCAACACTTCCGCTCAACAGTGCTCAAACGGCCCCTAATCGGGCCCCGACTAGCCCCCAAAACCCAAACCCATCCGGTAAGAGAAAGACACGGCACCAACCGTCCAAAGTCTACATGGAAATTACTATGGAAAAACCAAACATTCTGCTCATATCCATCCATCAATTCACCGTATCGCTCCGCTTCAAAAACGATAACTGAGCCTGAAGCAAACTCTTTCAGCCACAACTCTGTGTAAGTCCAAATTTCGATAGAATGTAAGCATCAAAAGCTATTAATGATCCAAGCAACTACCGCCCCATGATTCAACTGTCCAGCAGGCAACACTGGTGTTTCAGGCGCGTAGAATAGAGCACAAAATCATGGCTACTATGTCACACCGCAGAACACAGTGTCGCCCACAAAACAGCAGCCCCATACTACAAGACTATCAATCCCTATATTCTGCAAAGTTATAGCTGAGAAAATTCTCCACAAGAACAGTTACAGAACTTTTGAACAGTGCAACACGGAAAAGGCCAGAAGGCAATGAACAAGAAGTCCGGATACCCCACCCCACAGCAACCCCCATACAATCCTCCAACGGCCTGCACCAAGCCAGCCTCCCACTAAACGAGTCCAAACCCCGGGAGGCCAATCAGGACCCGACCCGGGGCCGTCCGAACACTGCGGAGCGAAAATGTCAAACCCATCATGCAGAAAGAGCTGTGATCCAAAATCTTAGGCCGACAACATAGTAGAAGCGATTCGAAGCGATTCGATGCGATAGCAATTGGCAAAGCGAAATGCAGTGGCAAGCGAAGCAACCTATGACATAGTGAAAGCGTTTTTGAAAACATTACAGTCGCGCGCGCAGTGCAAAATATTTGTTCAAATTTGTTATTCAGCATGGATTCATCCGATGAGGAATATTTCGCTTCCTCAAGCACGATTAATTTCATAATCAACAACGAAAGAGAGTTTGCAGTTCACCCGATCAATCGAAATAGAAGGCGAGATGGGGAGTTCTTCAGGTTGTACGAAGATCTTCGTAAATATCCAGAGAAGTTTCGGTCTTACACAAGAATGGATATGGACACATTCGATGTGATTTTGAATCTAGTGACAAACAAGATAATAAAAGACTGGACCAACTTTAATCAAGAACCGATTCTACCTTGTGAACGATTGATTGTTACTCTCAGGTATGATTTAAATTGTTTGATTGTTGGAACAACATCATATTTAAATGCACCTTGTATATTTATTTTGCAGGTTCCTTGCAACAGGATCATCTTTTGCTAGCCTCGCATTTTCATTCCGTATGGGTCAATCAACGGTTGCTAGCGTAGTCCGAGAAACGTGCCAAACACTATGGGAAGTTCTTCAGCCGATTTATATGCCAGTGCCAACTGAGCAAATGTTTCGATCGGTGGCAAATGAGTATTGGACTAAATGGAATTTCCCAAACTGCATCGGCGCTATTGATGGCAAACATATTCGAGTCAGATGTCCAGATAATTCCGGATCAATGTACTACAACTATAAAGCATATTATTCAAGCGTTGTTGCATTTGTGGAGTAAATTGATGTGAACAAGATGTCTGTGATGCGTTCATTTCAAACTCAGCAAATGGTGCATGGCTCTGCAACGGCGTAGAACTTTGAATGTTGTACACATTCGGATCATCCTGGGTTCTGTTGTCCTTGTAGACAAGCTTGTGTACGAGACTTTGCATCTCCATTCGAAATTCCAGTTTTTCTCTTGGCTTCAGCTTTTTCACATGTGGCAGGAGGCTTTTGAAGAATGCTTCATCCTCATCGTCGTCACAAGCACTAGACTTATTAGCCTTTTTTTCCAGTAGTCTCAATTTCCGGGCTTCAATGTCAATCAGCTGCTGTTGAACACCTCGCTTACCAGCTCTGTTTCGTGGTTGTGGGTTCGGATGAGGAATTATTTCAGCTGCAGGAGCGACTTCATATGCATCTGCATTATCGGTTGGCTCTTCAGGTATGGTTTCTGATACGCTTTCGTGGAGGTCCTCATCATCCACATCGTTTTCATTGCCACCACCACCAGCCGAAAGGTTGCTGCCGGACTTGCGTGGTTTTACTTGATCCTTCAAGAAAAGCATCGACTCGAAAAAGGGCCAGGATGTATATGTTCCATAGTTCGATGGTCCTGCGTCACCAGATCTTCCTTCCGGAATCTTCTTCATCTCTTTCGCAAACGAGGTCCGGAGATTTTTCCATCTTTTCTTCACTGCATCCGCTGTAAAGTAAATAAAAACATTATATTAATTATGAAATAAATCACTATTTACACTTACTTGTTGCCTCTCCTCCCAGCTCACAGGAAACTTGTCGCCAAAGCTTATCGACCATCAACCGGTTCCGGTACTGTTTCAATGTTTTGTCCCACAGCGCTTTTCTCGTAAAAACGAGAGCAATCAGATTTTCCGAATCGATTTCGGTGTCCATTTTTCCTCACTAGAATCAGTCCACTTGCGTTCGAAGGCGTCAAAACACAACACGAACAGCTCTGTCGCTTTGCTGAACGCTTTACACCTCTTCGTATCGCTTTCACTATGGCTGGTTTGGGCGATTCCCATAGAACGCTCATAGAGGGTGCTTTCACGCAAGCGCTCCGCTTATTGCCAACGAATCGAATCGCTTCGAATCGCTTCTACTATGTTGTCGGCCTAACAGGGTTTATGTTGTAGCTAATGAACTAACACATCGGAACAAACCTATCATTGATTTCTGCACGGTGAAATCATTGATATTATTGATCTTTTCTGATTTATAGAACGGAAATGGGCGATTACGACGAAGTAGTGCTCTACCTTACATAGCGTATGTGTATGTATATGTTTTTAAATGCTTTCTTAATGGCATAGAAAAGAACCCACTCTCCACTTTTCAATAGGTCCTACCTACACTGATCGATTCTCTTCATCGACTTTCTCATTGGATCGTCAAAGCCGTGTTAAGATATTTCCGGACATTTTCGACACACAGTTCGATGGAAGAAGCAACAACCAGGCATCCAATGCGACAAAGACGTGCGACAGGTAACGTTTCTGTAGCCGAGTTATTTACGAAAGAGAATGTCGATGAAGGGAATCGATCAATGTTGATTGGTCTATTCGAAAAGTGACGCGAACTTTATATTATAGCGAGAGCGAGCAAAACAAACGATGACAATAATAAACCACTGCGCACTCGCTCCGCACCCCAACAACGGAGGTACCTACACGCTTGCTAGCAGATGGAAGCCATGCTGTAGCACGCCGTTTGCCACTCACTCATGTGAGCGAGACAGCAGAGAAGCCATCCTTCTGTCTGCACTAAACACACACGTGAGCTCACGTCTGAATGTATTGGTACCATCCGTCACCTTCATCAAGCGTGTGTTGTTTGTATGTTGCCGACTGACGCTCGCATTACGTGACCAAACGACAGTGCTGATGAAGGTACGTGACGTTCACCATCAAGTTTTTCAGTTTAATATTTTCTAAAGATGGCCTACCATAGTCAACGTGCCGTTCCAAATCAACCAAAGGCAACTGTGAATGAGGAAAACGTCATCGATCAGGTATACCTCCATCCCTGCCTGTACGACAACAACGCCGAAGGATACAAGGACCAAGCCACGCGGGGCAAAGCTTGGGACAGCATCGGGAACCATCTGAACGTTAAAGGTAACAAACTGAACATTAATTATTTCTGCTCTCACATATCTAAACTTGACATTCTCTCTCGCAGGTGAGCAAGCCAAAGAAGCATGGGAAAAGCTGCGGCGCTGCTTTATGAATGCAATCAAACGGCGACGGACCAAACGGATGCACCCGTGGCGGTTCGAGCAGAAGATGGCCTTTCTCTACAATCACATCGATCCGTCGAAAATAATGGCCAAATATGACACGGACGAACAGCAGTACTATTCCGAGACAGACGATAAAAGTTTTATGGAGGAATTGGAAATCTCCAGCCCCAAGGTGTGTGACCGTTTGGTGGGAGAATCGATGATTCCCCTAGATTCGCCCGGCATCAAGCAAGAAGAGAGTTCCGATGGGTCTTACGGCCCAGAGCAGAGTCAAAACAGACCCGTAGTTAGGCCGCTTCGACCGCGATCAATTTCCGGATCTTCGGCTGATGCTAATAACGTTCACCCCGACCAACAGTCCAGACCGATTAGCAATGACCAACCGGAGATTGCCGAGAGTAGCACCCAGAGGAGAAAACGGAACTGCGACGAACCTTGCGATGGACCTCGGGAAGCTGCTAAAAAATGGAGGAAGCAATCTGCCGGCACCCCGGCTGGGAGTTACATTGAGAATGAGGAAGATTTAACGCCAGCCAGTGAAAGAGATGATATCGATATGTTTTTCCTCAGCATGGCGAAGACTACAAAAACCCTGACACCCATCGAGCAAGCTAGAATTAAGCTACATGTTAGTCAGATAGTTTTAAACGCTCAAATTGCCTCGTTGGAACAATCTTCCCGGGAGTAATGGTAGTGGCGTGGCGTGCTAGACTCATCTGGTGCGCAAGTTCGATCCAAATAAGTTTCATATGGTATTCATGGAGCGTATTCGGTCCATAAAAACTGGCAAACCGTCAGATATTTCGGAATTTGGTGTAAACTCCTAAATCCTAAGAAAGGTTGTTAAATAATGCGAAAAATAATAGTATCGATAAGAACTCGTTTATTAAATGCTAGAATTGTTAAATGCCGAACCCTAGATTGCATTTATTTGGTTAAACCTACACCCACTGTGCACACTTGATAAAGGTTCAAAACATTATAATATTTGTCATTTATAATCTAACTAAAAGTTTTAGGAATTCATTTGTTAATCGAGTCAGTGCTGAGATTTGCCATTATCATTGACAGTCTTTCGCGTGATATTGACAATATTGTTTTTCACATTTGGTCACTGACAGATTTGGTCCTAAAAAAAACCTTCGTCAAAATATCATTCATTTTTTCGTCAATGACAAAGATTCACCTGGTAACAACAAATGAAATGTCGTGCATTCTGTGTCACATTATTTTTATCCAAGCAGTTCAGAACGTAATTGTTTTCCCAACAAACAATTTGAGTTGATTAACAGATGAAGAGGGCATTTTTTAGCTGAAGAAGCTTATTTTTGCCTCAATAAGCTCTTATTCAGCATTCAATGTTTGTTGGGTTGCTCAAGTCATTTAATTTCGTTAGAAATTTAGTTAATAACAAAATCTAAACATGCTCGTCACTGACAATTGCCATGGTTTGCCTTGACGATGACTGCTAGTTCAAATGAGTGACCAAAGCAGAATTGCGAATATCACCGTGTACTGTCAAGATTTTGCAGCACAGATTCGAGTCAGTCGGTTGGCCGAAAACCGGGTGATGAACTCTAGACCAACAGTTGAAATAGGCGGAACAACCAAACGTAAACAATGGCTTTAAACCCAAATTCCTCATGAATCAAAGCACATCCAAGCAATCTAACACCGTCATCTGCTAGAGCAAACTTCCTCTATCGAATGGCATTGTTAGTTTACGTGGGAGTGTTTTGATTCTCGAGAATTTTGTGTTTAAAGCCATTGTGTACGTTTGGTTGTTCCGCCTATTTCAATTGTTGGTCTAGAACTGTTCTTTTCCCAACAGCTGAGATAACAATGAGACACGGCTGATAGGTCTGTAGCTGGCAGAAGAGGGATAATCCATGCCTGGCTTCCGGATGGGTATGACTTGAGCTCAGCCCTGTCATATTTCTAACTAGAGTGAAACTTTTAAGAACATTTCAATTTCGGTTTTAGTGATCTTAAATCCAAGTAAACTTTAAAAATTCCGAAAATTAACCCAGTCGGAGCCGCCGGGATTTTCTGAGGCATAAAATCTCTGATCACGCCTTCAGATGGGAAGTAAAGCCGTTGGTCCCCGGTTCATGAGCTGATGGATCGATAGGTATTTAATTTTAATCCAATGTATTTATTTGAAACCCCTTGGCCATGTAAAGACATTCTCAGATATTTTCAGCACACAGACCGATCAAAAAAGCTTTTATCAAGTATCTAATACGACAAACACAACAAGAAACGGTTATGTGCTCAAGTTATGAGCATGAGCATGACCGCCCACATACTCTGTGAAGAGTTGGGTCGAAGGAGTAGTTGATTTCTGTAGAGAACTTGTTTACCCGTTTCAATAATTGAAAACTTTATGTAGTATTAAACCAGACTTCCTACTGAAAACACGTATTTAGAGGTTATGGGCCCAGTTACGTCCGGCCCACACTGGGGCTGATCAGTGATTTTCTCGGAAAAAAATTAATAACTTTTGAACAAAGCATCCAATCAGAATACTGTCTTCGGTAAAGTTGTTTGTATTAGTTAAGCGCTTCTTCTGAATAAATTAATTAGTTCGCAACTTGGTCGTAGAGATGGCGTCCGAATCTAACTTTTGAATAAAGCATCCTAGACGTATGGTGTTTTCAACAAAGTTTTTTTAATCTAAAATGGTGACATGTCAAAAATTTATATAATGTTTTCCATTTTGTGAAACAGTTTATTTCAATGTAGAGGATGTTTTTATCGGTATATATAAAGTTAAATTTAAAAAAAATCATCGTATATCACGTCTTCAGTTTTCTGGTTTATGTTAGACAATGACATGAGCTAGCAAAAGAGACAAAGTCCAGCTGTCCTTAGCTGCCCTTACGATAATCCCACCCACCTAAAATACAGGCAAAATATCATGTTTTTCGAGAATATTTCACTAAAACCACTATAAATTCCACAAACAGTTCAATGAAAATTCGCACCTAGTTTGTTTTCGTTGTAATAAATGCAGAAACCAGAGCAAACACATAAAAATATACAAAGAAAAAAATTAAAAATAAGAATTTTGGCATCATATTTTTCAATATACCCTATATCTCCAAAACTAAAGGTTATGGAAGTTTTATGTCTTCTGAAACTTTCCTTCATTTTAATAGATAAAAAACTTTGTTGAAAACACCATACGTCTAGGATGCTTTATTCAAAAGTTAGATTTGCGCGCCATCTCTACGACCAAGTTGCGAACTAATTAATTTATTCAATAGAAGCGCTTAACTAATACAAACAACTTTACCCAAGACAGTATTCTGATTGGATGCTTTGTTCAAAAGTTATTAATTTTTCCGAGAAAATCACTGATCTGCCCAAGTGTGCGCCGGTTGGTGGTCTGAGCTAAGGTCGTTGTGTGCCACCGGTTTGGATATACCGGTCCAGCGTGGAAGGGTTTCCGGCCGAAGAGATGAAAGTTGGTTCATTTGGGAACTCCACTATGTACAGCCCATGCTGCGAGTGATAAAACAGCAAACGACCGTTCGGGTTCCGCTGGTAGTTCCGCCAAGCCTCGTGACGGGCATTCAAATCGCCTCCAATGACGAATAGAGAGCTAGTGCGAGTGATGGCGGTCAGATCATTCTTAAATTTGGCTCCCAATCCGTTGCTGGTGGTACACAACGATTAACCGGACGATTCCGGTTGGTGATTCCACCTCCACGCTGAGAACTTCGATGATAGAGATGCGGATGTGGAGAAGAGTGACAAACTTGATACCCTTTTTGATGATGACCACAACACCCCCCCCCCCCCCCCTGGAGTTGGTGCGATCAAGACAGATGATGGTGTGGTCAGGCAACCAGAAGCTGTCGCCGGACTTAAGGTGAGTCTCGGTAAGGAGCCCCACGTCGATGTTGTGCTTGCGGAGGAAATCGGCCACGATCACATAAGCAAGTGAGAGTAAAATGCGGCAAGTCTCGTTATCAAACAACACCGTGCAAAGACGAATTACCCATATGTCCGAAGATGTTAAAGTGCAAATTTTGGAAGAAATCAAGCAATCCCCTCTATTTGGCATCCAACTCGACGAATCTACGGATGTCAACTCCTGTGCGCAACTGTTGGTATTTGTGAAGTACGTTTACTCTGGCGATTTAAAGGAAGAGTTTCTTTTCTGTAGTGATCTGGAAACTACTACCAAAAGTCAAGAACAAGAGGTGAAAAGGGCAGCTTTTTGTAAACAAACCTTCTTATGCGCTTTTCTCGCCACCCATATGACACCAACGCAAATCATCAACATCACTGGGTAGGGAAAACTTTCTCCTTTTCGATGATGTTGTTGGTTTGCGTGGGCAAGTCTCGGTTGGCGAGAAAAGGGCCTACATAGGTTTGTTTACAAAAAGCTTGTATGCCCTTTTCACATTTGGCTCTTGAAGTGATGATATCATGGCCAAAATCAAAACATTTTTTGAATCGGGTGGCTTACAGTGGGGAAAAGTCGGTGGAGTTTGTACCGATGGCGCTCCAGCAATGCTTGGTAGCAAATCACTCCACACGCCACTACTGTTCATTGCAATATTCATCGATATGCCCTTGCCAGCAAGACTCTGCCGAAACCGTTGTTGAAAGTACTGGATTCAGTCATAAAAATTGTTAACTATATTAAATCTGGAGCTTGTTGCTGCTAGGGTGGGGTACCTAGGGGGCTACCAGGACAAACACCTCGGCGGGCTTGGCTAAGCAACGGCCTACCAATGAGGGTGGGTCATTCAACGACCTCTTTTGATGGCTAGCTCGATCTGGAGGGCAATTCTTAGCCTCAAGGTCGGCTGGAGTGATTTACCGGGCTAATCAGAACTCGGATATAGTGTGATTGAAGGGAAAAAGCTAATGAATTACACTTTAGAGGTTTATTTCCCTACCAATTACATTCTATGGGTGTGTGTGTGGCGTGTATAGTGTAGGTTTTCTTCAGATACCTGGCCGGCCGGCGACTGCTGGGTCTTTTGTGCGGTGATGCTGCACGTGGTGGTGGTTGATACGGCGGTGGTGATGCTGTACAGGCTGGTGGTGGATTCGGCGTTGTTAACGTCCGTAGTGGCGGCGATTATGGCGGTGACGCTGGCCGTGGTTACACCGGAGACTACGGTGTTGGTGATGGTGACGGTGGTTGCTTAAGGGCGTTTGGTGGCGCCAGTCGGTATGCCAAGTCACAATGGTGGACTGTGGAGAGGTGTCTTCTTCGGTGGGAGGTTATGTCCCGGCACCTTACACGGGGTACTGGCGGGTCCCTCTCAGGATTCTGTGGCTCTGCGGGAACGATCGGGGTATGAATCCGGTTGGAACTCGTTCGGAACGGAAAGGTCCAAAGTGGTCCTATCCTCCGGGCCGTCGAACGGAACTGGCTCTCCAGCGGTCAATCGCTCACGGAAGGCCTGTCGGCGTGATCTGGCCGAACCCCTCGATCGAGCGTTCTTAATGGAAAAACTTAACGGGTCCTATAGTGCACAAAAGAAACGGTCTTAGGCCCGATTGTGACATGTGACCTTTTCCATCCCTGTACCATACCTGACTCTCTCGCTCCACTCCTGCTACTATGGCACTCTTACTTGTCTTCTATATAATTTTAACGGTTTTTTTTTAGATTGTTCAACTGCTCTCGTTTAAGGTTACTTGGCAAGTCGCGGAAGAAGTTTCCGTGCTACTCGCCGTTCCCTTTCTCTGTACTTCTCGTACCCATTTTCTTCTGTTCCACTGAACTCAAATTTTTGGCTCATCACCTATTCCAGCAGTTGGTAGTAAACTGTGGTACTGTATAGTGTACTAAAACTAGGGGTAT